GTAGTAGTGTAGTAGTGTGTGTAGTAGTAGAGAGAGAGAGAGAGAGAGAGAGAGAGAGAGAGAGAGAGAGAGAGAGAGGTCTAAGAAATTGATGCTGAGAATGTGGTGAAGACCCCTCTTTATACAGGCCTCAATGGCCTGAGGTTATTCCACTTAGATTAGGATTCAGTTCGTCCAAGAAATTTCTTGGTAATTTGTGAGGTGACAAAAACAAATCCTCCATCCATTCCTAAATCAGCCATCATGATTTAGGTAAGGAATCTAAAAATATTATCCCCTGAATCTTTAACCCATATCTACTTCTAGTCAAGCTAGGATAAACCAGTCAAATGTCATCTTCTATTTTGACTAAAATTTCTTTTCCCTCACAAAGAATTGTAGATATTCAAAGTTAAAAGTCTTGGTCAATATCCAAAGTCATAGGAATATGTTTTTCAACCAACTAAAACTTTCAAGATCTAACAAAATATCTTAGGAAAGATTTCCCTAACAAGTAGGAAATCTTTCTTTCCCAGGAGCCCATAATAAACTGGAAAGAAGTGGGGGGTGTGGCCCATGTGGGCAACCATGTCCCACTTCATGCATGTGGTGTCCTCTCATGTGTGGGGCTAGGCCCTTGGTCCCCCATGTGGGTCCCACAATACCCTCACAAACCTCTAAAATATTAGGGCTGCCTATTTTGGAGTTTTGGTGAATGGAAAGAAGTTTAAAATATCTAAAAAACACTGGAATATAAAACACTTAGAAATAGCTCTAGAAGTGGATTGGTACTAATGGATCAAGAAAAGTGACTGCCAAGGCACTCAACCTTTGTCAGGATCCGTAATCACAACTATCTTCTCAAATGAGGCCAATGAGGTCCATGGCCCATTGCTCATGATTGACATGTCAGAGCTGACCAGTAAGTAGTCAAAACACTGTCTTGGTATGTGGATTACATGTTCTCCCAAGAGCAAGTCACATGCACATATCATTATAGTGCAAGGGGGACTCTCTCTATGCACATGTACATGTATCCCTTTATAGGGTTGCTTCTCAAAATGCGGTTGTCATGTGTATAGGCCGTGCAAAAGTTTTGTTGAGTATTTGACCCTCGCTCTTACAGGCTTAAAACCGCTCACAGAAGACCATTGAGTTCTCTTGGCTTAAAAACTACGTCCTTGGGCAACAATTAACAATTTAAAAAAAAAAGAAAAAAAAAGCAACGTGCTTGAACATATGTCCGACCTCAACAAGGGATGACCCTTCAAAAAGCCCTCATCAGTAGTGCCTATGCCTGGAGGAAAGGGTTTTGGACATGACTTGGGTTTATAAACTGCCCAACCGCAGGCTTGTCAACACATGCACTCTCACTGAAGTGCATAATTCATGATGTTTATTATTTTTACATGCTTTCACGGGCTTTGAAGGCCACAAACCCTAACACTAAGGTTCACTCATGTGGATATGGGCATGATCACCTATATGGGTAGAGAGGATACAACATAGGATTATTCATAAACCAGGACATGGATATAGATGCAAATATCTTATGTTCTATAATGTTTTGACAATTGATAGGTCTCATATTGTAATTGGGGAACATTCAAAGGAACAAACTCATCTGGAAACAATAAAGATTTGAGAGACATGTGGCCTAAGCTGGTGTGCCACAAGAGTATTTTCTCATGACGTCTAGCCTCAGGGTTGAGAGGAGTAGAAGTGCATCCCGTGTTGATCAGGTACAACCCATTGTCTTTCCGTCCACCACCAATCGTCTTCATCGTTTTCAGGTTCTGACAAACACAATGTAAGTGGTAGAATGTGAGATTGCAATTTACTTGTTTTGTGAGGCTGCTTACGAAGAGAAGATTGGAAGGAAAAGAAAGGCACATGTATCATGTATTACAAAGGGTAAGTCCAAGGATGATGAAAGTTTATATGTTCCACTCCTACAAACACTGGTCATGGATCCATCAACAAGTTTAACTTACGCTAGAAATAGGACAGAAATGCAAGAAACCAACTTTTTTACCTGTCATATTCATTAGCCCTTGAATCAATGATCTAGGATGTAGAAGAAGTGGAGTTGGAGGCATGGTTTGCAGATTCATATGTACTTGGCTGCTCTATCAGCATCTTTGAGCTGCGTGAAGCCTTGAGAGCAATGAACTGGTGTCGTAAATCTTTGAAGACCTGATCTCTTGGATCAGATACATGGGTTTGTGTGCTTGAAGTTTCCTCCCCTTCATTCAATACAATATAGGCTCTTGCATTCCTTGGTTTTGGTCTTGAGTGTGGATGCAAGTCCCAGCAGAGCTCATGGGTGTTTCTCCTGTTCCCCACATTGGGAGCATTTGATTTTCTCCTTTTTTGATGGGAGAAAGTGGGCACGATTTGAACCTTTGGTACCTGCTTTTCCTTGCTTGAAAGTTGTTGCAAAGGCTGATTGTTCAGGGTGGATGCTTGAGTTTTGTCATTCTGCAATAGCTTTTCTACTGGCTTGGCCCATTACATAATTATAGACTGATACAAGAGTGGGCAAGTTGTTCTTTCCTAGAATTTGTACTCTAAAGTTCAAAGCCCTGATGTAGGCCTGCGAAGAACTCCAAGATCCTTTGTTACTTGGCTTGTTTTTTAATATCGTAAACTCTGGGATTAAGAGGCCGATAGTGGTCTAGTTCTTCCCACTTATGCTTTAGTAGCCCGTAGCATTCTTCCACCACCATCTCCCCTTGCTGTAAATTTGCTATTTTGCGATGCAATTGATAAATTATAGCCATATCATCTCATTGCATTTATGTCTTAGCTATACCTCAACTCTAAGAAATAGCAATCCCCTGCTGCTGATACTTGGCTGCATGAGTGAAGCCATGTCATTGCTGCCAAAGTTTCACTTTCTCATTTATAATGGATCGACTTTTATCATTTATATGAGAGCCTCTTTCACTTTTCCTGTGATACGGCCCACTTTTTTCTGGCTTCCTTTGGACATTTTGGTTGATTGGGACCATTCTAAGTAGGTTTTCCCATCTAGCTTAATTGTAGTGATCATCAATCTCAGATGGTCAGGTTGACTGCTTCCATGGGAAAGATTGTGCTTGATTTATGACATTTTTCTTTTCTCTTTAACTCGAAACCCTAGGTCCTTTCCCGAGGTACTAGTTCCTTAGTTTCAAAGCTTGCAAAGATTCCCTGTTTTGTGGTTTGTTTGGACAAAAAGGGCATAGAATATGTTTGTGATTCTTTAGTATGGGGTGAAAAAAAAAAACAAAAAAAAAGGATATATGTTTTTGGATTTTTTTGCTGGAAATGAAAAAGAGTTTGGGATAAAACTTACTAATTGGAAAATAAAAGCGAAGTGGTCTTACTGAAAATATACGAGGTTGCTGATAGATCACATTTTTAAGCCCACAAAAGGATAGAAAAATGACGACTCTAGAGTCTCTGGAAATAGTGGATGTCCTAGGTTTCAAGTCATGTTCTGATACCATGTTAAAATTGAAAGAGAAGAGAAGAGAGAGAGTAATATTCAGGCACAAGATTGTGAAAAATATAGACGAATTTTCACTCTACGAATCTGGGGTAGTATGCCCCTATTATGGGAGTTAAAACGTAAGTCAACATGCATAGGAGTTACAGCAGGAAAATTTCCAACTATAGTAGAATATTATATACATTTGATAGATATTGAGTTTCCAAAATTTCTTGGATCTTTGGTCTATGTGCATTATTACCACATACATGTTTCCATGATGGGCTTGGGGCCGATACATACTTTCTGTTTCTTAATGCAGATTAAATGCATCATATTTCTTGTCTTTGTAATATCTCTTTCCCTCTCTTATTTATCATAAGTAATGAGAACAAACTAAAACTAAATATTTTCTTTTAATAATTGACTCTGAACTCTTTTGTCATAGAGAACATCATATCACATTGGATATATTTATTGAATGTGATTTAATTTTTCAGGTATGCTCTTCTTGGAGCAGCTTCTTTTCTTGGTGGTTCTATGCGGATGACAGTATCCCTTTGCGTTATTATGGTTGAGATCACAAATAATCTGAAACTTTTGCCACTTATCATGCTAGTTCTTCTAATATCAAAGGTTGGTTCTGCCTATGTTAATTCTGTGTGTTGTGATTTTATATACTCTGATGCCTAACTGCTTATAATATACCTTTTCCTCAGGCTGTTGGTGATATTTTCAATGAAGGGTTTTATGAAGCACAAGCTCATCTAAGGGGTATCCCATTACTTGAGTCCAGACCTAGGCAGTACATGCGTAAAATGACTGCAAAGGAGGCCTGCACGAATCAAAAGGTTGTTAGGATGACTGCAATTTTCTGCTATGTTCTGACATTTTATGAATCCTGTCTGAAATGAGGCATATCTTTGTTATTTGTTTAAAAGGTTGTTTATTTCCCTCGTATCGTCAAAGTTGCCGACTTGGTTTCTGTCCTACGAAGCAACAAACACAATGGCTTTCCAGTAAGTATCTATCTGTGCTTATAAGATAACTCCCCTGTTTTCCTTTGGCATATATTTGTTAGTAATTTTTTTTGCTAAAATCTTGCATGTGCAGGTGATAGATCACTCACGGAGTGGAGAGACACTTGTCATTGGACTCATTCTTCGTAGGTGGAAAAGCTGGAACCACTGTCTTGTTTTTGTTTTTCTTTTTCCTTCTGTAGTTCTCTTTCAATTTTAGAAAGACACATGATGCATCTCTTCACAGTTGTGGTTGCGAAAAACTTACTATACCCACCCATTGAGTTTAACTTTTTGTCCTTTCTCAGTCAGGTGTTGGTACTCCTTCAGTCTAAGTTGGATTTTCAGCACAACCCTTTGCCATATGATACTAGAGGTTCTTTACCGATCAGGTGAGTGGAATTCTTTATTCATATATGTATTTCCTTCAACTTTTCCCATTCAACACAAGTTTTGAAATAGCTTATCTCCTGTTTTCAGGCATACATCTAGTGAATTTGTGAAACCTGTCTCCAGTAAAGGAATTTCCATAGAAGATATTCATCTCAGTCAAGAAGACTTGGAAATGTATATAGATCTTGCCCCGTTTCTTAACCCCTCTCCTTATCTTGTTCCAGAAGATATGTCTTTGGCGAAGGTGAGAAATTTTCATTTGATCATGATATTGCTCCTTGATTCTGGTCTCCTTCATGTATGGTCATTACAAACATACTCCAATGGTATCTGTATTTCAGGTATACAATCTTTTCCGACAATTAGGATTACGGCATATTTTTGTTGTTCCCCGGGCTTCTCGTGTTATTGGATTGATCACAAGGAAAGACTTGTTAGAAGAGGTATTGCTTTGTCAATTGTATGGAGGTCGTCTAGTTGTAGAGAGATTTGTTGAAATCTGAGCTGCTAGTGGTAATTGCAGGACAGAGAAGATTCGGCTACAATGGAACTACAGTCAACCAGTGTAAGGTCTTGATGCGGCTTGGCCTGTGTTAATTCTCTTCCATTTTGGTGCAAGTAATGTAAGACTGCAATTTTAATGTGCCACTAAGTTAACAGTCCTGGCTGGTGGTTCAAACAAAGTTAGTGACCCATGCCTCAAATCTCTTTAGATGATATCCATAGCACAAACTCTCCCACATGCAGTTCCTGTACGATATCTTTCAGGCATTTTCTTATTATAGTTTTGCAACATACTTCCGAAATTTTGATTCGATTGTGCGGAGTTGATAGCTTGCTTAATATGTATAGCAAATATGCCATGCATGGTCTGAGCTTGAATGTCTGCGTGCATGGTCTGAGCTTGAATGTCTGCTAACAAGAGAATTTATACTAGAACATTGGAAGTTTGATATTTTGGACTAGTAGCTATGCTCGAACAATGTTGATTGCCACTGATCTTTTCATAAGACTTCAACATATTTTGGAGCTAACTCATACTTTGGTTGGCGCCATTTAGGAAGAGGTCCTTAGCGTGTGGTTTCTGTTGACTAAGTAGTTGTTTTGGAAGAGGGTTAACAGGTAAACATCGCAAAAATTTAAGGAAAATATATTAAAATATACCTAAAAGATCAGCTAACATTTTAACCATTTTCAACCATTGGTCGGCTTTTCGTAATTAAACCAAAAGAAATAGGTACAGGATATCATAGTTCATCTGTCAGGTGTATTTTGATAAATTTCCATTCAACTTGTATATGAGCCTTTGATTTTGGGTGATATTTCTGCATGTCCCTTTGGACATTTCTAATTTTCTTCTCAGCCTTGTGTACCAATTTGCTGCTAGCTGGTTGAATAGTTTGTTTATAAAACATAAGTGCTTTTCAATATAAAGACATGGTGAATTAACATCAGATGCTCAAACATCTGGAAGACTTAGCGGAAGTGTTCAGGATCAAAAAGCTTTTTAGTGTTTCTGTGCCAGAATAGTTTGGCCTGGTTGTAGCATTTAGCTGTTATTTTGTTTGCTCATGGGTTTGAGGCTAGGAAGACTTGGCTTACGTCTTATTCTAACCTCTAGTTTTCTTCTCAGTAGTCCTAATCCAGCTTCAGCTACATCTTATGTTTGGTATGTCAAGAACCCAGTTATCTTACATTGACAAATCTCTTCAATTCTGAGAGTCACTAATCTTACACTATAGCAATTTGTGAGAGATCCCAAAATGAGGCAGTTCTGATGGCACTCATTTATAGTACTATGAGTGAGTTTAGGTACACATCATCTGATAATCTAAGTTCTATTTTTTGGAAATTTTGATTATGGTTTCTAAACCACAGTCTAAATGGTAAATTTCTCTACGTAATAGCATGATTTCTCTCTAGAAGGCTTGCATACTATGGGATTTATATCAGTTCTTTTTTTTTTTTGCTTCTGAAAGATGATTGAATTGATCTTGGATGGATATCCAGCTGTAAGTCATGTAGATCATGTTGGGGCCCTCAATTTTGTGCCACCACTTCTCCATAATGTTAACAGGAAGCCGTTACTTCTGTTTTGCAGGGATCATCATTCCAGTAAAAGAGTTTTTGGAAAATCGAGTATGGAGCAGCCGCTTCTTGATAATCTTCTGACCCAAGAATAACCATGAAGGTGGTCCCTCCCCAATTCTAAGCAATTCTTTTTCTATTTTACTCCTCTATTTCATTTCTTTATTTTACCCTCCATCAGTGATTAGCAGTATATATGTGTATGAGGCGCTCCACTTTTGTAAGGAGCGTTGTATATCTTTTGTCATTGTATCGTAGACCTTGATAATTGTGCGAGTAGTGTGACTGAATATAGCTACAGTGGGAATCCACCTCCAAATTTCACCGTCTTAATAGTTCGAGATGAGAAATTGGTAAGGTTTGTTTCATATTGGGTCGGTTTTTGATCGGTTCGCGGTTGACACTTGTGACAATATGTCTCAAGTTTGATCTTTTCCACTGAACTGCCCAAAAGAATGCATTGTTTGTTTTTCGCAATATTTTTCTTCAGTTTCACAGTTAACAGTTACACCCCATGGTTGGGGATTCTCTGTAATTTCCAAAATACTTGTTTAAAGGATGTGGAGGATTGTTTGAATATTTGGAGAAATGGCAAGTCTTGAGACTCTGAAAAAAATGAATGGCAAGTCTTGGAGCTTAATTAGTTGTTGACTACTCTTTCAAGCGTGTGAAAAGACAAGGGTTTCATTAGATGCGCGTTTATGAGTTCACACTTGTCAAGGTTCAGGTGCATGAGCATATTCATGGTGTTTCTACTATCTGCATGGTAGACTTTGCCATGCTATTTAAAGCTCTCTCTCTCTCTCTCTCTCTCTCTCTCCACACTTACGCGCATAAAGGGGCTATTATATGATAATGGCAGGTCATCTCTACACATGACTTTGTTATTTGGGTTCTAAAATAACATGACTTAGTGATTGAAGCTTGAACCCAATAAATTATACGACTAGGAGTATGCATTTGTTTACAAACTTTTCCCTTTTTGGGTTTCTTTTGCCTTTTTCTCAATTTCTGTTTTTTGCACTCCTTTTTCTTTTTTGTTGAAAATTTGCAATTTGTCGTGGTGGTCTTCTTGTTTCACACATTGCTGTTCTATTTGAAGACACCATGGGACTTGTCGAGGCCCAAGACGCCTTTTGACAACGGCATTCATGACATGCTTTCGTGCTGTAGATGAAACAATCTCTAATGTGCCTTTCGACTATGACATGTTTTATTATATTTATTTTAAGTAAGAATAGAGCTGTCAGTATCAGCTACAACATGGCCAATCAAGAAGCAAAAGCTTGTTAGCTTTTGAAGTGCATCAAGGAGAAGGCCATTTTTAGTTTAGCTATTTGTTAGACAAATCATAGCCCATGGTATGCATTTCGTTGCTAGGACCACAACCTTGTGGGAATCCCACAGGACCCTTTGCATATGAAATCATCAAAAAAAGAAAAGAAAACTATGCCTAGGTTTTGATGCAAATTTGATCCAAGGCGCAAGAAACAATCTTTAATGCGCCTTTTTATTGCAATGATAGTGTGTTTTTTTAATAAAAAAATCATAATTAATGTCTTTGATGGATAGCTTAAATCCTATATTAAAACCCTTTACGCTGCAGAAGTCCTCAAAGCCAATGTCGAAGAAGTAGGAGGAACTATGGATTTTCTCCTTATTGTTTCAAGGAATGAAAAGCAAGAAAGATCAAGAGATATATATTACCGCAATACATATCTTAGGCTTCATCTCCTTAATCTGGTCATCTTTCTCATCGTAAAGTACGATTTCACCATCCTCGGTGCTCTTCAAAATCACGTAGCGCTGGCCCATAAGAATTATCTTCTTCCATAAAACCATCTCTCCATCTCCTTCTCTTTTCTTTCTTTCCCTTTCGGAAAAAACACAATTTACTCATAGCAAACTTTTTAAAAATTTTCTCTCTGCTGAAACTAGACTTCGCTTTTTTACAATTCTTCTTATCTTTCCCTTCTTGAGAATGCTTCTTCTTCTTTTGTGAAAAATTTATTTGTGCTTCACAATAGCATCTAAGTTTTATGTGCCCCACTTAATCAAATAATCAGTAAGAAACCAGAAGTGAACATCTCAAAGAATAAAACAAACTGTTGTTCGCAAATATGGACTACAATTTTCTATTTATAATACCTAGGAAACAGAACTAAAAATTGTATACATTGTAAAATCAGTGCAATTATGAGTTGTAATTTAAGTCCCATAGAAGATTTGCTTCTTTTATTTCATTTATTTAATCGTAGAGAATTTGATTCTTTATTTCATTTATTTAATCGTAGGGGTCGAAATGAAGGGCCAGGACTAATTTTTTGCAAATTATTTAATTTTTTGATTTATATTTAAGGGGATTTGAAAAATAATCTACAGTAACGTCATAGTTTATAGATAAGGTTCGTTTGCATGTAAAAGATAAAATTAAGTTATCAAACTATATTTTCGGATTACTAAATTTAACCATTTTAAAAATATTTTCTAGCGATAAGTGATTAGTAGGGATATCTCCTTATCTCTTCACAAACAAGATTTACATGCGTATAGGATTAGGATTAAATTATTTTTATAAATAATAAAGTAAGGCCGTGAGAGTTGTTAATTTTTTGAATTTTCCACCTATGAATTTTATTTTCAATAAAAATGCACTTTTATACTAAGGGATTTGAAAAATATTCTCTCTGGATAAAAAGTAGTATTTTTGGTTCACAAGGAATATTGATTTTCATTTTCTTGTAATAAAATAGCATCCTTCCCCATAGAGAGTTGTTGTAAGTTTGGATTTAACTTTTTTTTTTTGTATTATTTTTTAAAATTTATTATATAATAAATTGTTCTTGGTGTGTTTATCTTTCTTGATATCTAACTTTATCTTTCTTGACATCTAACTTCAAGTTCGTTATAGATGTTGAATTTGTTATGCCAAAATATTTCATACTCCAACAGGAGTATAGTACTGTCCATGTACTTCCTAGACCAAAATATATACTAGACAAATCTTTTCGATCCCAAAATTTGAGGATATAATCCCAAAATTTGTTATGCCAAAATATTTCATACTCCTGCGTATTGCCCATCTACTCTCCAAACCAAAATATACTATGAACAAATCTATTCGATCCCAAAATTTGAGGATATACTAGACAAATCTTTTGAGGATATACTAGACAAATCTTTTCGATCCCAAACTTAACTCTTGCTTTCTACCTGCCTAAACAAATTTCTTGAGCATTACGATAATTCCTAGACCTCTTTGGTAATAATCTTGATAAATAACTTCAGGGGATACAATTCTTGAGATTTTTAGCAGATTTAGAGTATGTTATCGCGAGAACAATCTCAACTGCATTCGCCACAAACCATAGAGAGATGGGGCAAGCTTTCTATGCTTTCCCTACAACATAGAAATTCTATCTTCCCTTTATCCAACAGTCCATTCTGAATGGAGGGTTAAGATTGCTCCAATCACAATGTCACATCTCTATTATTTTTTTTTAAAATATTTCTTGTATAAACTATTTTGACACCAAATTTTGGAAGTCCATTCCTCTATTAAACTCGTACTAGCAAAAAATATATAAAAAATATTTTCAATAAAATAAAATGATCAGAATACTTTTGAAAGTTTCATGGGGTATTACGGTTATTACATTTTATCAAAAAATTATTTTTAATATTTTTTATAGGTGTGCCCCAATGAAAAGATGGCAGGTACAAAATTTCATATTCATACAATTTGTATAAAAAAAAAAACTAAAAATAAAATACTTTGCGATGATCTAAGATCAAACGGCTACCGTTTGCTCTCTTGATCAAAATCGCATAGAAACCTTTCCCTAGAGTGATTAGGACAAAAGTTATCTTCACAAACTATAAATCCAAAAATAACGTTTTATATGTAGTCTAAAAAATTATGAAAATACCCAGCTATCCTCTATAGGCGCACTTGGGAGGGTATCTTGGGATCATTTTTTAAATTGTTCCCCAAAACTAGTGGGAATATCGTTGCAAAACGCAAACTTTCCATTTTTATTTCTTAGAGACAATCCAGATATTGTTTAAATAATATTCAGTTTCCAAGATCATTCAAGATTATTATTATTATTCCAAGATCATTCAAGATTATTATTATTATTATTAATTTATGAGATAATGGACTTCTGAGTTTCGAAGATCACTCAAGATTATTAATATATGAGTTAATGGACTTCTCAAATCTCATAGGAATTCCAAATAATTTAAACTCAAAATTAATTCGAGTTTATCCATTCTTAGCCAAAACATAAATCCTACCCAACGTAGGACTCCTAACTCTCCCTCTCTCAATAAGCTATATATATCGTTCGCCTCTTCCCTTCTCTCTCATTCTTCTTCCATTCTCTCTCTAAAGCTAGCTGCTGCCTGAAAGATGGCGGGGCCAGTATTCACACTGGACTCGAGTCCTAAGATTGACGGCGATGGGAGGATTACATTCTACGTGTTCATCTGCGCCCTCATTTCAGCTACCGGTGGCCTCATGTTCGGCTACGACATTGGAATCTCAGGTATTCTTCACTTTCTCTCTCCTCGTTTATTTAGAGAGAGAACTAATGAATTTATCCTCGGCTTTATTTAGAGGGAGAGAGAAAGAATTCATGTTGTGTTATGGTGAATGCAGGCGGGGTGACGGCCATGGATGACTTTCTGGAGAAGTTCTTTCCGGCGGTGTATGCTCGGAAGTTGAGAACCCATGAGAACAACTACTGCAAATTCAACAGCCAAAGGCTCCAAGCCTTCACTTCCTCTCTCTATTTAGCGGCGATGGTCGCCACCTTTTTGGCCGCTTGGGTTTGCAAGAAATATGGGCGGAGGCCGACGATGAGAGCGGCGTCTCTCTTCTTCTTGGGTGGAGTTGCGCTCACTGCTGGTGCCGTTAACCTCCCCATGTTGATCATCGGAAGGATCCTCCTCGGCCTTGGGGTTGGCTTTGCTAATCAGGTTCCCTGCAACTCTCTCTCTCTCTAACATAGCAACTCTCTCTCTCTCTCTCTCTAACATAGCAGCTCTCTCTCTCCCCCTTGGCGTTCACAACCTAATCTTTGTTTACAAGTTTTTTTCTACGTATTACAACCTAATTTGGTTTGTTATTAGGATACCAAATTATTCGGTAGGTTTGTCATTAAGATGTAACTATTTCTAGAGGTTTGTTATTAGGGTACCAAATTATTCGGTAGGTTTGTTTTAAATTAAAAAAATCTTTTTATAACATTTACCACCTGAAATTGCAAAACCATTTAATTCATCATCTCGATGTCGATATTAAAATACTACATTTTACAACACATTATCTCGACGGTCTATTTTCAATATTTTCATGCCTTTATAGACATGCTTGATTTCATCGGAGTTTAAATTTTATAACTAAAATAGTTTCTCCAGCTATCCTAAAAATTTTGGATACCAAAATTGCATCTTGTAACAAAGTTTGGAGGTGCGCCTTATTTTAATTATTTCCAATATTATTAACACGCACTAATCATTTATCTATTAGATTTTAATTGCTCAATTCACTAAATTTTAATCTTTCCTCCTGTACACATGCCTAATCTGCTGGGTATTGCTCATGACACATACTGGACAGCAAAGATGAATAACATTTTCTTTTTATTTCTAATTTCATCGTCATACATTTTATATTTGAGTTGGAGGAAATTGGAAAGAGCAGCAGTTTATTAATGCGAGCTAATGAGATAGCTCCTTGGTGCTTAAGGAATAATGGAAAAATAACCCCACCTCTCTCCTTATTTTCCATGCTTTACTTTGTATAGAACACAGGTAACTCCTTCCCGAGGCGAGTAATTCAGGAGATTTCAAGTGGACTAACTTGAGTAGTATAGAAGCCCAAAAAGAGTTTAAATTTTTGAAAAAAATTACAAAATCCGTATTAAAAATAAAAATTAGTGTAAAAAATAACTAAACTAAAAAGAAAATGTCTAAAGAAGTATTCAAAAATATAGATAAAGGTGAATTTGGAAAAAAATAATTTAATCATTTATCACTCAAAAAATCCTAGAAAAATTAAAAAAAGATGTAAATAGAAATTCTATAACTCAACAACCTTAAACAAACCAACTAAGGCTCACCTCCAAATTTTATCATAACATGTAAAAAATTCTTAGGATTATCTTAACACCTATTTTCATATCTAATTGTAAAATTTTATACTTCAAAAATGGTTTAAATTAAAGTAGATCCATAAACATATTAAAATCTTGAAAATAGACAGGTCTAGATAATATGTTGCAAAATATACTATTTCTAGTACTCAAAACCTTTTTTTTTTTTTTTTCCCACATTCATATCACAATGTTGAGATGATCAATGAGAGTTTTTCAACATTGCAATAACCTTTTCGGATGGATTTTTGAAGTACATTTTTAATTCTAGGTTGCAACCTTATATAAACTTTTTCCGTAAAAAAACTCACCAAACATCATTGAAAACATCAAAATTACATTTGATAGACAGCCACTAACTCTCCTCCAACATCACAACAGGCAGTTCCCCTGTTTCTCTCGGAGATCGCACCAACAAAA